ATGATTTAAAAGTAATTGATTCTTCTCCAACACTAATGGAATAAAAAAAAAAAAAAAAAACAAGTCAAATAAAATGTCAGCCGGCTCAGGCCAGCAAAAGCATAAAGATTTATTAAGGCAACTGTTAGTAAAGAAAGATGATAGCATATACTGAGAACTCCTCTAATAAGCTGGAATGCATATCATTTGGAAGTGGGATGTTGGGGTCTTGAAGAAATGCATATAAATGCATATAAAAGCATAATGCTCTCAATAGGGGGAACATGAATGAAACCAAACATGCTCTCCAGAATTCATGATACATAACGCAAACACCTTGCATAGGAATGAGGGAAAAAAGTGTGGTCATTGTAAGAAGCCCTGGTGGTCCAATGGTTAAGCACTTGGCTGCTAACTGAAAGATTGGCGATTGGAACCCACCCAGCCACTCTCAGGAGAAAGACCTGGCAGTCTATTTCCGTAAAGATTAAAAAAAAACAAAAACCAAACCTACTGCTGTGGAGTTGATTCTGACGCTATAAGACAGAGTAGAGCTGCCCTGCCCCATAGGATTTCCAAGGAGCAGCTAGTAGATTCCAACTGCTGACCTTTTGGTTAGCAGCCAAGCTCTTAACCACTGAGCCACCAACCCTATGGAGTAGTTCTACTTTGTCACATGGAGTCAATGTGAGTCGAAATAGACTCGACAGCACCGAACAACAACAGCATTGTAAGGCAGAGAACAGCAGTTCTCTTTGGGAGTCTTGTGGTTGGAGAATCCATCGAGTGGCTCCATCATCAGTCATCCTACCCCAGCGTGGGGCATGGTAAAGGCATCAAACTGAGAGCCTCTGGGAGATCACGGATTCACCTAGAAGTGTTGGCTCATTAGTCTATAAAATAGGCCTTTAGAGTAAGTCTAAACGTGTTTGAGAACAGCACACCACTCCAGGGTTCTGCCAGAGCACCTATTCTGGGGAAATGGCTGCTAGCTAATTGGACCCCTGACTGGCATGGAGTTAATATCATTAACTTGATGCAGCTCTGAGAACACTGCAGTGGTGAAAGGCAGACTGGAATGGGTTTGGTACTCTCTCTGGGCCTTAAGTATTGGGGCCCTGGGTCATCAGTAAGGTCCTTGGGTAGCACAAATGTTTTCTACTCATCTACAAACCTAAAGGTTGACAGTTTGAACCCGCCAGGGGCACCTCAGAAAAAAGGCCTGGTGCTCTGCTTCTGTAAAGATGGCAGCCCCATGGAGCAGTTCTGTTCTGTAACGCAATGGGGCAGCCATGAGTCGAATGCACCTCCATGGCAATGGGTTTGGTTTTTTGGTTTGGGGTCCTAGATACTTGCTAAACATCTCCAGAAAGAGTTTGTTCAATATTTTTCCTGCCGTTCTCCATTCCTACCAAATCCTCCCAGATCCCAGATCCTAGCAGATCCCAAAACCAAACCACAGCGGTTGCTGTTGAGTCAATTTCGACTCATAGCAACCCTATAGGACAGAGAAGAACTGCCCCACAGGGTTTCCAAGGCTGTAACCTTTATGGAAGCGGACTGCCACATCTTTCTCCCATGGAGCAGCAGGTGGGTTCGAACCTTCCACCTTTCTGTTAGCAGCCAAGCGCTTAACCACTGCGCCACCAGGGCTCCCAAGAACAGACAATCCTAGGGTTTTTGGACTTCCCCTCACTATGTTAGAGCCCCCTTAGAGATCCAAGAACCAATGCACACAGTCAGGCTGCCCTGAACCCTGAATTTGTCACTTACCTCCTGGGGAAGCTGTGGCCCAGAGCAGGCCTGGATGAACTGACCAACAGCTCCACAACGGCCCAGGGTTTGCAAATCAGAGGGGTTTGACACTGACATTGGACTTCGTGGGGCAGAGGGGGGCTTTTTCCCAGGCTATAGAAGTAGGGGAAAGACAGGCCATTTCTGTGGCATCTGCTGTAAAGTTTGCAGGGCGTCTTATTTCAGAATTTACAGTGTTCAGATTGTCTGCTAAAGACAGCTATTGTTCAGTAAATACCTTAATTAAACTTGTCTCCCTAAACAGCTGGAAAGTAGTGCTGATGTGTATTTGTCAAGGCCTCTGATTTCATCCTTTTAATGTTTCTTAGCACGTCCTTGCTTGTGTCTCTGCCACTGGTCTGCCGTGTAATGGCGTTTGTAATAGGTTGGTCTATGTCCTTTTCCACTCAGAGTGATTGTTCCATTAATAGAAAGACAACCTTTGCAACAGGTTAGTAAGAGGCAATCAATCTCGTGTCGTTTTTATTGACGTAAATGACTGTATTTCTTGCAGGAAACAAATTCACTTAGACACTCCTGAATTATAATCAACCTAGTAGGACCTACAAGTTGTAAATGTTACATTTGACAGATTTTACTTTAAAAATAAAATAGTCAGATGCCAGGTATGGAGAGTGTGAAATGAAACAGACGTAAAATAGTGTGAGATTTCTGCTCTAAAATGGTCTCTGTGTGACATATGGTGGCTTTTGTACATGTGAGGCAAACCAGTAGCAGATAGAAAAGCACTTTAATGCTAATTAAGTAAGCTTGGAAGTAGTTACCCAAGTGTACACTGAAATGCTGCCTTTTGAAAACGGACAGAATATTTGATTTTACTCCTTTTCTTTATCCTATGACTCTGGGCATGCTGGAGCCCTGGTGGTGCAGTGGTTAAGAGCTCAGGCTGCTAACCGAAAGGTCAGCAGTTCAAATCCACCAGCTGCTTCTTGGAAACCCTGTGGAACAGTTCTGCCCTGTCCTATAGGATTGCTATGAGTCAGAATCGACTCGACGACAATGGGTTTATAGCAATGCTAGGAGTTATATTTTTTCTTCATTCTTTCCATGGATTATGCAAATGAGGACATTTTTTAGAATTTCTTTTTCTCATTTTCTGACTTTTAAGAGAGCTATCCTAGATTTGAAGTATCCTCTCCTATTCAGCTTGCACAAGTTACCTCTCAATGTAAGAAGCATATTTATTTTGTGTTGATTCAGTGATGTCTTTAAGCTGCCTTGAAGACGGCTATGTTCTGGGTAACTTTGGTTAACAGGCTGTTTCCTGCTAGTTGATATTTGAGTCACAGTGACACTGGTTCTGTGTTCTGGTTTGTAACTTTAAACCAGGTTCTCTCTCAAGGGGGCAAGGATGCCCTGAGAAGCTGGGTCTAGGCAGGGTCAGGAGATCACGCAGCATAGGGTTACAATCTTCCTTCTGTGGGGAGGACACTCTGGGCTGGATGTGAGCTTCCATCCGGCCACCAGTTCCCTGGGATGATTATTTTAGATTTAGGCTAACTCCAGACCTCACAATCGTCCCTCCTTAGTCAAGCTTGTTGCTCTCACTGGTTATTGCAGTCCCCCCTAGAAGAATATGCAGACGTTTGGAAAGTGGAGTAAATTTTCATAATTGACTCAGGTTACGTACACGGCTAGGAGTCCCTGGGTGGTACAAATGGTTAACGTGCTGGGCTGCTAACTGAAAGGGTGGAGTTTCGAGTCCATTCAGGCACACCTTGGAAGAAAGTTCTGGTGATCTACTTCTGAAAAATTAATCGTTGAAAACCCTGTGGAGCACAGTTCTACTCTGACACACATGGGGTAACCATGAGTTGAATCAAGTCAACAACTTTTTTTTTTTAAATGTACACAGCTTGCCCTAGATAGAACATTCCAGAACAATACCAAACTTCTCAAATATCCAGACTCACACACTCAAACACTTGGCTACCAAAAAACCAGACTGTGAGTTTTCAGCTTTATGGAGTTTCAGAAAAATAAGAGTCAGCTGATGAAATTTAAAATGAAATAGACTTCTTCAGTAAAATCAGGAAATGAGTTGGCTTTTCTGATGAACTTTGGTAAGTTCATCAGACGTGGGAACAGTTGCGTCACTACCGGGGTGGGGGGGGGTGCGAACCGCGCGCCCTGATACACTGTCACAAGGGGTGACACCAAAATGACTCCAGGGACCTTGGCGGCAGCGGCTGGTAGGCTGGTGCCGCAGGGGGAGGGGCCTCCAAGGCAGTGACGTCGCTAGGGTTGGTGTCAGCCATCACCCAGTGTGGTAATTCATCACCTTCCCAGTCACCCACCAGTCAGGGTGTAGGTGGCCCGGTGGCAGCACCATTGGTAGGGGAGAAGGGTCTCCACTTTGGCCAATGGGGGAGGGGAGGAGCTGGGAGAAGGTGGGGGCGGGGCCAGAGGGGAGGGGCTGTGAGTCCGGGGCTGGCCCTGGGGGGCGGGGCGGGGCCCTGCTGCTCTGCCCACCCCCAACCCCCACCCACCCTGGGGGGAGGTGTGACACCATGAGTTACTGCACCGGTGACACCAACGCTAGTGACGCCACTGCATCAGCTTCCGATTCTTTCATCAACAATTTATTTTTTCTTTTTTAGTTTTACTTAAATCAAAGATCTTTTGTTTGGAATTTTGTGAAGGTTCTGCATTTTATGTTGTTGTTAGGTGCCGTCCAGTTGATTCGAACTCATAGTGACTTTGTGTGACAGAGCTGAACTGCTCCCATGGGGTTTTCCAGGCCACTCTCGTGGTGCAGTGGTTAAGCGCTTGGCTGCTAACCGAATCCACCAGCCATCTTGTAGGAGAAAGATGTGGCAGTCAGCTTCCGTGAAGATTACAGCCTTAGAAACACGTTGGGGAAGCTCTGTTCTGTCCTGTAGGGTCGGTAGGAGGCCGAATGAACTCCATGGCAGTGAGTTGTTTTTTGTTTTTTTTTTTAGTTTAATCTTTATGGAAGCAAATCACCAGGTCTTTCTCCTGTGGAGCCATTAGGTGGGCTCGAACCGCTAACCTTTCCATTAGCAGATGAGTGCTTAACCATTTGTGCCACTAGGGCTACTGTTCTGCACTTTATAAAACAGTGAATTGGGCTCCATTGCTGAAGATCATGACCCCAGCCTCCCATCTCTGTTTTTCCAAAGAAATGACGAGTGACGGAACCATTGTTGCAGCATTATCAAGGGCTGCTTTCTCTATCTCCTTAGGTGAAGAGTGTGACATTGACATAAACGAATGTGACAGTAACCCCTGCCATCACGCCGGGACCTGCCTGGACCAACCCAATGGTTATACCTGCCATTGCCCGCACGGCTGGGTGGGAGCCAACTGTGAAATCCGTAAGTATTTCTGAAGCTTCCCCACTGTTATTTAACATTACATTTTCATTCAACAAGAAGAGTCTACTATCCTGAATACAACCAAACCCTTCGAGGGACAGAGTAGCAGGGGCAGAGGTCTGGGGACCATGCTTTCAGGGGACATTTAGGTCAATTGGTATAACAAAGTTTATTAAGAAATTGTTCTGCATCCTGCTTTGGTGAGTGGTGTCTGGGGTCTTAAAACCTAGTGAGCGGCCATCTAAGATGCATCAATTGGTCCCAACCCACCTAGAGTAAAGGAGAATGAAGAACACCAAAATCACAAGGAAAGTATTAGCCCAAGAGATAGAAAGGGCCACATAAACCAGAGACTTCATCAGCCTGAGACCAGAAGAACTAGATGGTACCTGGCTACCACCAATGACTGCCCTGACAGGGAACACAACAGAGAGTCCCTGTTGGAGCAGGAGAAAAGTGGGGTCAGAAGTCAAATTTTAGTAAAAAGACTAGACTTAATGGTCTGACCAGGACTGGAGGAACCCCAGAAATTGTGACCCCCGACTCTGTCAACCCAGCACTAAAACAATTTCCAAGGCCAACTCTAGTCAAAGATTAGACTGGACTATGGGACATAAAAATGATACTCGTGAGGAGTGTGCTTCTTAGCTCAAGTAGATTCATGAGACTAAATGGGCAGCTCCTGTCTGGAGGTGAGATAAGAAGGCAGAGAGGGTCAGGAGCTGGTTGAATTGACACGGGAAATCTGGGGTGGAAAGGAGTCTCAGTATAGGGAGAGCAATTAGGGTCACATAACAATGTATGCATAAATGTTTGTATGAGAGACTAACTTGAATTGTAAACTTGCACTTAAAGTACAATAAAATAAAATGAAGAGACTACTGTCCATGACCACCACCAGCCCCCATGGCTCATATTATGGCTAAGTCCATGAGGCCTCAAGGATCGCCTGAGTTACCATGTCTCCTGAGTCCCTGCTTATTACTTGGGGCTCACCGTTTTATCCTGCTTCCACTGCTTCCTGCATCCGACTCCAGCCTTTCCACCGTAAGATAATTTGCAGATGTCATCCAGAGTTCACTGCCGCTAAGACAGCCAAAAATGTGCTCCACAGAGAAGCATTAGCATCCCGTCAAAAAATAGAGTCTTTGTGTTGAAAATTAAAAAACAAAGCAAAAAAAAAAAACACAAAACCACAGAATGTAAATTCATTTTGCGTTTATGTCTTCAAGTATCTTCAAATACATTAGGTCCCATCTCTTGCTTGGAGAAAAATTCCAGTGATGATGAGCTGAAAAGAAAATCTGAAAAACATTTTGAGCTGCTAGAGCTTTGTGTTCTCTGGAGATGAACTTGCAGAAGTTTGAAAATGTCATAATCAAGAATTTACATGTATTTTTTTTTTAATGTGCATATTGAGATTGAGGTGGAAATGAGAACTGACATGGAATTGAGTTTTCACTTGTTTTGTAAAATTCAACTTTGAAACGGGGTTTCTTCTTATTTAAATTAGTCAGGGCAGTTTGATCTTTCAGGGAAGAAGAAATGTAAACACACTAGTTAGGGGGCGTACCTCTTCCTGGTTCCAGAAGCTTCTTTTCCAGAAGAGATCCTCTCCTGCCTCTCTCACCACCTCCTTTTCTCTTCTTCATATAAGGACAGCTTATCTGCTGTGTGAATTTGAAAGGAGACACTAGGCCCAGTCTGTCTGTGGGGCTGGAGACGGGGCTGTCTGCTCTGTCTGCTTCCCCATGTTCTCACTAGTGCTCCTGCACTGCCTGTGGCTGGATGAGTTTCTCTGATTCTTAGTGTGTGTCTGAGGGTGGGGAGTGGTCCAGTATTAGGGAACTCCCTTGTCCAAAAATGTGAGCCATGTTCTCCAACATCAACTTGGCCAGAAACAAAGATGCCATTGTGGCTCTTATCTGCTCGCTTTTCTATCTTCTCTCTTGGTTCAGAACTTGGGAGAGGCAGAGGGTAATTATTTTTAAGCCTCCCCTTCAACCTTCCACAATGATCCTATGCAGAATGGTCTCAAGACCAGCTTTCCCTGCTGAAGACGGGTGAAAAATACTCTTTTGTGGAAGAGATGGGAGAGAAAATGGCTCCAGGGATGAAAATGCTAAGGGCTGAGGTTTGTTGTAGGGTTTAACAGCGAAAGTCCAGTTTGGTGGAATGTGTTGGTAGAAATGATGCCAAACTTGGGTCAACAGAACCTTTGTTCTTGTGCTGGCCATGACACTCACTGTGTAACTGCATTTAGTTGTGCTGAGCCTCAGTTTACTTATCCATAAAATGGGACCAAGTTTCATTCTGAAGACTGGTAGTTCCATGAAATGACAAATTTGTGCCTTGAGACAGTGTAATATATATATTTATAACTTTTTAAAATCTTTTTTATGAAGATAAATATATAGGAGAGCATAGATAAGAGGAAAAGTCAGGAACATACAGGTAGGTTGCCCACGAGGAGTTTTGAAATAAGATCCTATAATTATTAAAAAAATAAAAAATCTAAATGTTACCTTGTGCCAGTGATGATAATGTAGGCAAAAGATATACAAGGATAGGATAATTAAAAAGGTCAAAGTTGGCTTCAAATTCTAGCTCTGCCATATGCTAGCTTGCTAGCGATGTGTCCCCAGACCAACAAATTACCTCTCAGAGCTCTTGTCTTTCTCACTTGTAAGTAGTGATAGGAAGGCTTCCCATTCAGGTTGCTGTGAGGAATAAATGAGCAAATGTGGAGGCCTCTGCTATGCAGTAGGTACTAAATAAACGCTGGTTGTCCTTTTTTCTTTTTTCTAAATGACTGTAGTTCTTATGCTATGAACCACTCCCAGGGGTGGGGGGAGGAGAGTGAGTTGCCCTGGGGTATCGGGCCATCCTGGGTGGCTGGGTGCAGTGAGCCCAGCAGACATCGCGGTCCACACTGGGGCTCTCTGCTCGCCCAGAGGACCGTTTGCCTTCTGGTTATCTCACGTGCACTTTTCCACTAGGCGAAAGGCATCAAAATAAATATCACAACAGATTAGACTCTGCCAGGGCTCAGAGTTTCATGTTTCCAACCTTGACCTGGATGTAGGAATGAGAACGTGCATGAGAGGTGTGCAGATGACACATAGCTACAGTCAGAGGCCGCTTTCTAGAGATTCGGATCTGAATCACATGGAATGGGTCAAAGGTCAGGGGTGGAAACAGTCTGGGCAGTCAGAGGGCCAAGAAGCTGTAAGAGGCCTTCCTGGCTTATGTGAGTGGTGGGACCCATGGCCTCTGAGGTATCTTTCTGACCCTGAGCATCTGTGACCCCTTGACATGGCCAGAAACCACAAGGAGGATGCCTGGACTGTATGAGGTCAGGTTGGTAAATCTAAACATGGAGAATGATGGCCTGTAGGGGTGACATCTTGGGCCTCTTCACCTCAAAATTGATGAAATTTAATAAGAGTTGGAGAAAGCCATCAAATGGCTATGTTATATGGAAGTCCTCATCATACAAATAGGTTTGGTTCTTTAGTTCTCATTTTTTTATAAGCTAAGATTTTTTTAAAATAAAATTAATTAATCTTCCTCCCTACCCACCTGTACTCCCAAAGATAACACTTGCTGTTTATTGGGTATTCTTCAGGATATAGTCAGTCAATATATGTTTCCCCTTTTTTCTCATACAAATGAGAAGTATTCTATATGCACTGTTCAGTGTCTTGCTTTTATATTAAATAATGTATCTTGCATTTTTATCCATGTTGGTGTTTGTAGATCTACCTCGTTTTTTAAATACTCATGGGTTTTTCCATTCTTTAGATACCCCATAATTTCTTTAACCAGACCTCTACTGATAGATCATCTATTTTCGTGTTTTTACTATTAAAAACATTACTGGAATGAACATTCTTATGTATGCATCCTTGTACACACTTAGGAGTCCTGGTGGCACAATGGTTAAGAACTCAGCTGCTAACTGAAAGGTCAGCAGTTCGAATCCACCGGCCAGATGCTTCTTGGAAACCCCATAGGGCAGTTCTACTCTGTCCTATAGGGTCACTATGAGTCCGAATCGATTCAGTGGCAACGGGTTTGGTTTTTTGGTTTGGTACACACTTATATGAGAATATCAATATGATTAAATTCTCAAAATGGAATTGCCAAGTTTGTGCATTGAGTATTTTGATTTTGGTTGGTTGATTGTTGTTGTTTTAACTTTTCATGAGCATTTATTCATAAATTAGCTATTTGCCATTTATAAAACCGTGAAGCAGTGGTGTCAGGGCCCAAGAGTAACTCAAAAATTCCGTTTAATCCACAATTACTCTGCCATATTAAATACTTTGAACACCAAGATTGCATCCTCCCAATTTCTTCTTGGGAAGCGGTTGTGGCTAGATGTGGGGAAGGCAACCTGACTGAAGGGAAAGAATGTGATTGTGGAGTTCTTCCGTTCTGGTTTTGAATCGCAGATCAGGTCCTTATTCCTTGGGAAGGAAATGAAGTCTCTGAGGCTCAGGTCCTCATAAATGCGACAATAAATGTAAATAATCTAGTATGTGCCTAGTGTATAGTTGTTGGTATGCGCCATCAAGTCGGTTCCAACTCATAGTGACCCTACAGGATAGAGTCGAATTGCCCCATAGGGTTTCCAAGGAGCAGCTGGTGGATTCGAACTACTGACATTTTGGTTAGCAGCCATAGCTCTTAACTACTGGGCCACCAGGGCTCCTAGTGTGTAGTAGGTACTCATTAAATGGTTGCCTTGATTATTATTATCTGTCTTATTTTCCTAGTGCTGCTGTAACAGAAATACCACAAGTAGGTGGCTTTAACAAACAAATTTATTTTCTCACAGTTTAGGAGGCTAGACCTCTGAATTCAGGGCACTGGCTCTAAGGGAAGGCCTTCTGTCTGTCAGCTCTGGGGGTTGGAAGGTCCTTGTCTCTTTTCAGCTTCTATTGCTTGGCTCTTTGGTGATCTTCATGTGGTCTGGCATCGATCTTCCCCCATGT